CCACCCCCGCTGCTGGCCCCCGGGCCGCACAAGGTCCCCGACGGCAAGGCCGGAGCCACGCGCCGGTCCCTGGACGACCTGTCGGCGCCGCCCCACCACCGCAGCATCCCCAACGGCCTGCACGGTAAGGGCGGCACCGGCCGGGCAGCGCGGTTCTCCCGGGCCGCAGCCCCTTCCCCTGGCTGGGGCCTGTGCCGGGTCCGGGAGTGGTGAGAGGAGGGAGTTCCCGGCCACTCTGTTCTTGGCTGGGAACGGCCGCCGCTCCGGACCCCTCCTCCAGCTGGCATCGGATCTTGGCTGGGGGATCCCGCACCCACCCGCGGTGGGGCTTTGGGTGGTGGTGGCCCGGTCCAGCTCAGAATCCGCAGCTGGCACGTGTCCAGAAAAGTTTCTGGCCTGCGGAATTGTGCGTATGCGCGTCCGGCACTGCGGCACTGCTGGGGGCGCCTCTTTCCAGTCTGGAAATCCTTGCTCGGCAGCAGGAAGCTCTTCGTGGAAAAAAATGAAAGGCCCCTTGAGCGCAAGTGAATTTCCCTTCTTATTTGGAGCAACAGGCGCCTTCCCAAACCCAAGCAGCGCCCACGTGGGTGCTGTGGCTGGAATTCCGCCTTTGCCGCTTCTGTGCCGTGCGGAGCACAGGCAGCCTCGCTACGACTCCGAGGCAGCTGGCCCAGAGGACCTGGAGCTAAGAGCCTGCCTGGTCTCCTATAAGTTCTGCACTTCTGGTCGGGGGCTATGTACTTGAAATGGATCCTGGCTTTTCTCTTCCATGTGCCTCAGTTTCCTTATCTGTAATATGGAGATGATGATCCACGCCTCATGGGTTTGAGGTGGAGATAAAACCTCTGAAGGGATTTGTTAACTGTTGATCGCCTTACAGGAAGTGCTGTGGTCATCTGTGGCCAGGGTGTGGGCGGGAGGACTTTTGGCCGCAGGAAAGCTCAGGGACTGTCTTCTACACCTGTGTTACTGTTGGGTCCAGTTCAGAGGGTGCCCACAGATTGGGCATGTGGGAGCCCAGCAACCTGCTCCCTGTGCCAGCCCTCTGCTCAGTCACTCTCCTCCCTGCCTGGCCCGTGGATGCGGTGCCTCCCTGTTCTTCCACATTTTTGGTGGCTTGGCTCCCAGTTTTGGGTGGCAATTGTGACCGCTTGAACTATTTGCCTGAAGGTGGAGAATAAACAGCCCTTTCTGGTTCCCTGTAAAGCCTTTCCTAATTCAGAGAAAATGTATCTAGGCCATAAATAACTGCCCTTCCCCAGAGTGACAGCCTGAGCTGGGGAGGAATGCTTTCTCTTTGGTTTGGTGGCCAAGTGGCCTCTGCAGGCGAGTTGGGGTGGGAGCTATACCTGTGGAGGTGGGGTGACGTTGCAGCATAGTTTTTCCTTTATTTACCATCCTGAGTGTGAGTTAGGGCAGGACTGGGTTTGGAGGGATATTTTGTTACTGATTGGTAATCTATGACTACAGCTCAGGTTTCTCTTTGTAACTCTGTATCCATCCCACTTCCCACCACAGGCTGCTTAAGGCCAGTGGGAATGGCTCAAAGTTAAGTGGTTTAGTTTGTTGGGGATGCACCCTGCTGTTTAGAGCACTGCGGCCTCTTTGGCCTCCACTTCCTGGGGGATTTGGGAGGGTCCGTTATCTGGGCCTCAGTTTCCCCAAGTGCAGCACAAAGGAGCAGATTGCTGCAGTCCTCTGGCTGGGAAATGAACTATTTATAATTTTCAGCTGCGTCATCAATGACACTTGGCGAGCGTGATTCTCTGCAGGACACTGGGTTCTGTCAGGTTTTGGACAGGGAGACGCTGCCCTGTCTGGCTCAGTGTTTCAGTTGCCGCAGTGAATAATGCAGGAGGACTGGACTGGACCTGAGGTTTTCCACCCCACTTGGAGGGTGGGGGTTGAGGTGTAGGGTTTCCCACAGAATCCATGCTCTCCCAAGTCCACTTGGAACAGGACTGCTGCAAATTTTGTGGCAGCAAATATTTGCTTTGGGGCGAAATGAAAATTCAGCACTATTATCACAAATTTCAGTTACAGTTAGGATTGTCCTTGTTTAGTTTTGTCTCTTAAAGTCATGTGTGGCCTTGAGATGTTTTCCCGCCAGTATGAATAGAATGCCTGGAAGCAAGGAATGGCCAGTCTCTTAGAAACTAGGCTTTTCTGTTTTGGGACCTGGAGCTTTAAGTTGAGTTGAAGATTGTGCCTGAGCTGAGAGGGATAATGTAGCTTCCATCCCTCCATCCAGGTGGTGGCAAAAGTGGAGTCAGATCCTGGGCCTTGTGCCTAATGAACGTGGCCTCAGTCCATCCTCATGGGAAGCCTGGGGAGGTAATGTTATCCTCATTTCACAGACAGGCAGGTGGACGCTCAGAGAGGTTCTGAGCCTTGCCTGGGAAGGCAGCTGACCTTGCAAGTGTCCGTCCTGGGAGGGATGTCCACTGGGGTCAACTACTGCTCAGGCCATGGGCTCGCTTGCGTCCCTGGCCTGTTGTCATTTTTGCCATTACTATTAACAGGGAACATTGGTGACTCCGTATTCTTGATTCCTGACCCAGGTTTGCCCTCTTTCTCGCTTGCTGGGAAGTGTCACTTCCTTATCAGTGACCACTGAGGAGATGGTTGATAACCCCATCACTAGTGTCAGGCTGTCTTGAGTTTGAATCTCAGCTTCTCCATTTATCTTGGGCAAGTTCTTTCGCTTTCTGAGCCTCTCTGCTCCTCTTCTGTAAAGTGGGGTAGAACCCAAAGAGCCCCTTTATCCACACAGTGTCAGGTAGGTCAGTATCTACACACAGTAGGTCTCAAGTTGTTAGAATCCTTAGGCACTTGCCAAACAGGCTTCTGTTTTCTCTTCAAAGTTGTTCGCTGTTTAGACAGCTCCCTTGTATGTTTGCGAGCGAGCCGCACGTGAGGCTGCACCTGCTGAGGAGCGGGGGAACACGTTCCTGCAGTCCCCTCGGGGGGTTGCGTGCAGCCCTGGAAGGGCTCAAGTGGCCGTGGTGGGAGGGGGCCCATCTGTATTCAAGGCGGTTCTTGGTGAAGGCCGGGCCGGCGGCTCTGTGAATGCATATGCAAATAGACCTTTCTCCTTGGCTGTTTTTGGTGGAAGTTTGGGCGGGGCTTACTGAAGTCTGGACTAGGGTGCTCATTGCTCCAATCTGGTGTGGCACCTTGAGGCAGGTGAACCCCAAACACCAGAAAATCAGGTTTTCCCCCTTGAACTGATGTGATTTTCAAACAAAAGAAGTTTCAGCTCTTTCTCCACCTGCCCCTCCCCCATTCCTTGTGGCCCTTTGCACCCCTCCTCCTTGCCCCCAGGCATGTCCTTCTCTCACCCTCAATCCCCACTCCCTTCCCGTGAATGGGGCCTGTTTACTTTTTAAAGTTTGGATTAAATTTTTGAGCTTCTCAAAACGAGATGGGTTTGTTCTCTTGCTTGTGTTTTTGTTGGTTTCAAAGGGAGGATGAAGCGGGGGTGGTCTGGGCTTTAAAAAAAAAAAAGAGCACGCTGGCCCTGAATAGGTCTTTTCTGTGCGGCTTCCCTGCTCAGCTAATAAGGCGCTTTTCCTAAACCCAGCCAGGCCCGAGAGCAAAGGTCAGTGCAGACAATGCGGCGGGTTAGATAAGCCTTTCCTCCTCCCTCCCCAACCCAAGCTCGAGGGATCCATCAGTGGCCTTAGAGTGCTGGGTCCCCAGGGCCACCCACGAGAGGAGAGGAGGGCTGGCCCTGAGGAGCTCACAGGCAGGTGACCCAAGGAAGGGCCAGGGTGTGCCTAGCACTTCACAGTTTACTACAAGGAGTTTCCCTGTCCCAACTCCATTCAGTGCAGAGCTTCCAAATGGTCCTGGGAGGAAGGTCTCAGCACCTCTGTATCACAGATGGGGAAACTGAGGCTTAGAGAAGTGCGGTGGCTTGCTCCGGGTCCCACGGGGCTGGTTGGGGGACCTGTGTTAGAGGTCTGAGCCTGTTGCCCTGGGCCTGCTGCGCAGGGAGCTCCAGGGGCAGCTGTTTGCATGACAAAGGTATGGCCCCCTCTCCCTGGGATGCCAGACCCGGAGTCTAATCCCTGCTGTCCTGTTCCCCTGCATGAAGCAGCGCAGCCTGTGAGGGGTTTCCTTTCCCAGTTCTTGTTTTTTTTTCCTCACTTCTCTGCACCAGGCTGGCTGCCCACTGCAGTGGTGGCCCTGCCAGACTTCTCAACCAAACACAAACTTGTTTTAATATTGTCCCGGGATCACAGGATGTGCAAGAAAATCAACTGTTGCTCATAATCTGTTTTCCACCTGTGGGGATTTCGTTGCCTTCATTTGCACAGAGTTGAAAGTCTAGGACCTCAGGCAAGTTCCTGAACCCCTAGGTCTCTATTTTCTCATCTGTAAAGTGGAAAAACATTACCAACCTGTGGGTTGAGGGAAGAATGAGCGAGCGTGTAGACTTTGCAGTGTAGCTAATTCCTCTTCTGCCAGCTGGAACACTTTGCATTGGGCATGCTTGGGGGCAGCGTAGGCTTCTGGTCAGTGCCGTGGGATTTCAGAGCTGAGAGGTAGCTAATTCCCATCTCCCTGGTGTGTGATGATGAGGGGACCCCAGTGGCATCCCAAACAGCTTGAGGACAGAGGAACAAGCTCATCTGCTAAAGGGATGGGATACTCTTTTGATCATAAAAAGTCAGGAATCATCCCCCTCTTCTAAGCACGCGCCCAGAACTGGTCACTGTCACACGTTTTCCGCAGCTGTTCCTTGCCCCACAGGCAAAGAGTTCTGTGCAGATCTGGAGCTGGGTCACCTAGGGAAGGATGCCTGCTCTCAAGCAAGTTGCCTCCAACCTCCAGCTCTCCGGGGAGCAGGGCAGAACGATCAGGAATTTATTGATTCACCTGTAAGTGTTCTTGGGTTTGCCCGTATATGCTGTTTAAACAGAGGTGTGGAGCGTCATTTAACTCAAGCAGAGGCCACGGCCCTGGGAAATAAGTGAGGGCCTGTCCCCTTCCTTCTTCCTGACTCCTCAATGGCCGGAGACATCCTGCTGTTTCCTCACTTCTAAGATGGGCATTTCCCCGTCTCCCTTGTGGTGTGGGGTGTGTCTTAGAATCCGTGTGTGTATTTGCTGTAGGCTC